TCACTTCCTTTCAGAAGTTTGAAAAGTAAGATTGAAGCCCTAACTGAAACTTCAATCAAAAGAAGTAACGATGAAAAACAGATAATGAATAATCTAGGGCGCCATGCTCCGGTTCCTTATACAAGATCTCCGCCAGTGTTAACTGCTCTCCCTTCTCACGATGTAGACTGTTCTATTTCAATCCGAAACCTGACGCGTTCAGGCCAAAATTAAAGTGTTTCCCATTTTTGCAGGAAAAGATGATTTTAATCTGATCAATAAAAAACAGAAAGGTAATCGAAAGGAGTACAGGTGAAGAACAGAGTTTCTGTGATAGCAGATAGCAACGTTACGCAAGCTCCTCCCGACTGTACGGGTCATTGAATGTAACACCAACTTAATTATGTTAAACAAGACTAGTGAAAAATTAATTCATCAGCACTCAGCTACAGTATAGTTTTTTAGTAGGGTGCCTACAAACTACAATGTTGTGTGTGCGCTAGCAAACTTGGATGCTGTACTGAGAGATAAAACAGGCATTAATTATATCCGACGTTTCAGTAATACGTCCAATCCCGTAACTACCTCGTCAGATCAGAGAGCGCAAGTGTACATCATGTGATAATCAAAACAAAAACACACCTCAGAAGATCGACGCTTTTGTTTCAACCATGACCTCGTGCTTGCATCTGTTCTCTTATTGTTACAACTCATCAAAGGCTGGCTGAATCTACGAAGTCAAGCTTTTATTTTTTCGTTTCTCTTCGAGAAAAATCAAGGTAAGATTTATTTCAATGAGCGTAAGAAAGTCATCCATGACGTATTTTAAAGGGATGCAGTGTTTTAGGGGAACAGATCCAGGCAGAATTTTTCTATGAGTGAAATAAATTAGTTTTGATATCGAAGGCAAAAATTGACGCGATTTAAAGAAGGGAATCAAAACGTTGTAAATTTGGCTTTATATAAGTTAAATGAATAGTCTTTCCACCGCTAAAATTAGGCGTGGTGTACGTTAGGGTATCACTTATGTTCCGTGACCAGTTTGAAGCCTCTGGATGGGTTATTACCGTAGATGGACACGCTATCATAAATACAGCATTACTACATGAGCTCTGGTGTACTTCGCATGGAACATCTGCCGACATCATTCGTTTATTTTGCCATTTTTATCGCAACTTCTGCTAAGAGGCACAACTTTTTAACAGTGATATGAATCAAAAATGACCATAAATGAGATAAATAAGAGGCTTCTCCGCAATTTCTTGATTAGTATTTCACTGTTCAAAACTTTCTTTGTTTGGTGTGACCACGCTGTTTTACGTGCATTGAAAACAGTGAGAAAACATAGTTCCTTGTAAGGCTATTTTTTGAAAAGCAAAATATATCAAGCTCGGTTTTAAAAGACCTGAAACAACGGTGAGCAAAATATTTTTACGGTCTTCAACACGATTCGGTAACGCGAAGGATATTAGAACAACCGCAGTGAAAATAACTGAAATATTGAAAATAATTGTCACTCTTGTAATTGATGTAAGTGTTAAAAGATCCAAAACGTTCGATAAAAACAGTTGTATGGCTCTAGGATTTGCCATATAATGAACATATAACTAAGTGTCTGTGTATGTCGATGTATTTCGCGAAAAACCCTCTCGAACTGAATTCTGAAATGGGTCTAAATAATAATAGTGAATACTCGTTTAAAAATCCGGAATATTTCAACCACATAACAGGTGTTAACTTCATTTAGAGACTGGTCATTATTTATCACCTGAGTGGGGGGGGGGATATTTATCACCTGAGTGGGAGGGAGGGGGGGGGAGAGAAGGTTGGAAGATTTTACTTGTGTCAATGCGAAATTTACCTGATTACCCCCAAAAAGTTCTGTAATGTTCTTATGACCACCCTTCCACTGGCATTTCATCAGGGCTGTCAATTTTCGTCAGTCTCACCTTTATACTCTGTTAGTGACGACTGACTCCCATTCCGTTCCCCCTGAAAACCACGTGATCCCACCAAAATCCTCCAGCATTTATGCGCGTGCGCATCACCGTAGACAAAACTATCAACGTGAATGGACTTTGTCTGTTTAGTAAGTATCTTGATATGTGTTTTATTACAATTATCTGAAATAACACGATTGGTCGATAGAAAATTCATGTGTGCAAAAGAAGCACAAGTAATCACTAATGCGTAATTTTGGTTGAAATCCTGGCGGACTTATTACTTACGAAAATGAAAATTTAAATGAATAATTAATTTGCGACAATAGTTACTAGATGTTCGATTTGAATCTACTTCAGTCAAGAGGTTATTCATGAAAAGGTTATTAACTTTCTCGCCGTATTAGGTGTAGAAGAGAGGTAGGGGTAGGTGTAGGGGTAGGGGTAGGGGTAGGGGTAGGGGTAGGGGTAGGGGGGGGTAAGGGTTCTTCCACACAAGGATTCATTTCGGTGAGTTGGTGGGATGGAGGGGTTCCAGGCATAAAATTTCGTTAACGTAGCATAAAAATTGATTTGGAAAAATAATCAGTCTCTTCGTCGTTTTTTGCGTTTTCGTTAGTCAATCTTAGTAAACACCAATCAGAATGCCTGTAGCATTGGAAGAGATGCAAGCTCCAGATACCATACCATTTTTATCTCTGCAATTAAATAAGAGTATGCGCAATTATGGCATTGACCTAGTTTTGAGATTCCTGAGAGTGGCCTATCACGTCTACACCCGGCCGCTTACTTGTGGAGTTATTGTATTTAATAATTTTTTTTCATGATCTCTTCCAGGTTGAGATAATTAAACACTGATGGGCGAGGCAAAAGACGTAGTGAAGTTGGAATGGGGGATGGAAGGCTGGAAGGACAAGACTAAGGCTATGAAAGAGGAGATAAAACGTCAAAGTGAAGCGAACGAACTGTTCTTTGTGAAAAATGCCAAGCAACTTGACCTGTCCAACTTTCTGGAGGAAAGCACCAACAAGTACACCTTTGCAATTATGGGAATGAGTGGAGCAGCCATTGTAAATCTTCTTCGCACGATCATCATGGAGTACCGTGAAATAGACAGTGGTCCTTACTACTTCAAGTTTGCGGCTGATAAAAAGTTTAAGGTGGAGCTCATGCCCACAGCACTCTATCCTGGACATGGGCTGATTAAAGTCGTTGGCAGATTGAAGTATTACTCTTACCATGAAATGTGCGCGTTACTGGCTAAGAGTGGCGTGACAAGCAAAGGGCTTGGTGACATGACGCATAAACTGAATACCAAAGGCATGAAGTCTGCGTTATTTAATGCAGTTAGTCCCATGAACGAACTCCACTTTATGCTACTCTTTGAGATCGCGCGGAGACTGGTGCGGGATTCAAACGGGAAGCCAGTGTCGACAGATCCCGTGCTCGACCTGCTTCCCTCGGGCGTAATCATTGGTCGAATCATCGAGCTTTTACGCGTGGAGAAAGACGTCGTACTGAGTTACGACAAAGTCTTCGGTGATCAGCAGCCTCTCAATTGGATAACGGAGAACAACACTATACTCAAACGCCAGAAAATGACTGCCATTAATAAAATGTTCTTTGAAAAATTTATCGAGGGTCAGCAAGACGAAGTCCCGTTTATTCGGAGGTTTCTAGAGGAGAATAAGAACGGTTACATTATCAAAACTTTGAAGGGGTACCTTGACGATTTAAAAGAAGTATTTGGCGAAATGTGATGTATCACGGATGAATTCTAACATGTCGCACCCAGATCTCTCTCTATTTAGGGAAAGTGGGATGCCTGTGTGAAAAGTAGAAACTGGGTACGATGTTAACTTGAACTACAAAAACATATCATATTTTATTTAACATAGGAAGTTTACAAAAGCGCAAAAAATTTAGTATTTAAAATGAAAACATTACTTGTTTTTCTCTATGAACATTATTGAGCTAATTTGATGTTCCTCCGACAATGTTCCTCAAGGAGATATAAAATTACAGATGTACAGCACGTCTTGCTCGCTAAATTAAACAGGGACAAAAAAATATGTGTTTCTTCGGAAATAAACTTTTTTCAGATTTTTTTTGCATATGCGTAGTCAAACTAGTTTGCGTTATGTGTGAGTGTTACTGATAAGTAAGTGAGTCAGAAACTTACACACTCTTGAAGATTTTGTAAGTGCAGCCACAAGACTCGTTTTTATCTGGGGACAACGGACGGAATCGAACACTTATTTAACAGTGAAGGGACATTGGCATAATGTTACAACGAGGGAAGTCGTGTTCTGGCTGTGTCTTAGTAGAATTTGAGTCATTATCATTACTTATTTGCGCCATGAAATACTATCATTTTCATATGGGAGTTGGACAAGAGAGAGGTACATAACGTCAATGCCTCTCTCCTTCACCTTCCCACGCCTTAGTTACACCATTTTCTATCATGATTCTCCTTGCAGGCCCGACAGGAGTTTTAATTTTACCTTGGTGATTGATATTTCTAAATCTTTTACTAGCTTAAGTCTCCCTCATTATCATAACTTTATTTACAACTGAAAATCATTTTTTATTCGTTAGCGGTTGGTGGCTGTCAGCCTTCGTGAAAGTTGGTTCCGCAGGGATTTACACTTTTGGAACTTTGACGCGATCAAGATTCAAGTACTATCTAGGTTTGACTGCAGGTTTCTCGATTGAAATAGAAAAATTGAACTTAGAAATCCTTACGAAACGAACCATGCGTAAAGGATCTCAGCAGGTTATCGAAGGTGCAAAGGTTACCACTGAATGCAATGTTGAAAGAGTATATTTATACGAAATTCTTTTCGCCATCATTTCGTAGCTGGTTTACCTTTTACTTTTAATTAAGAGTAAGAATAAAAGAAGAATCCAATATATTATTTTTTTCGTGTATTTCTTTGTTTTATCAGGAGCGATCTTAACCTTTCAACCCCTACGAGTGACTAGCATCTAATTTCTCCCAAAATGTCACCCACACATTTTAAAAGGTTGTGAGAATAAGAGAATATAATTACTGAAAGAGCTACTGATTGTTAATCAAATTCTCCTGGTCTGCACCCTGGAAAATGCATTGAGAACGGTAAAGAGAGTCTGCGTATTAATGTTAGGGTGCAAACGGTGACTCTGACTGTCATAAAATCAAAAAAGGCAGTCAATGTAAGAGCCAACAAGAAGGAAAGTAAGCAAAGGATGGTCACATAATAGCTTCGTGTGCCGTAAAACACAAGTGGTGTCACGTTTGGTGCACGATCGGCCTCTAAATGAATGCGAGTGTGGCGCGAAATTCTGAACCAATCACAGAGCCTAAAAATTCAAAACCAAAGCGATCTTATGAGATATCTCTCGCACTTTCGACATATGATTGAATATTTGAGGTAAATGTGATTTCTGTATACAGTGTATAGTTTATAAAGTGAGATTCCTTGCATTAGCCTTTCAGACGAACGAGAGTTGTTGGTTTACTTTCATCTTATGAGCATACCAACAGTATCTCAGCAATTTGGGTAAACATTGATAACAAGTGATGACATTATTGTTTCAGTTGTGTTATGTGTGTTTGTTTTCATTTTGGTTTTGTGTATTATACTTTTCCTTTTTTAGTTTCCTGTCTTTTTCTGTTTCGTTTAGTTCTATATGTGTTCTTAATTTTTACTAAAATTTAATTTTGCAAGGGAAAATGAAGGCCCTAACTACGACCAAACCAATTTCTTTTAATAGAGAACTAGTGTTTTTGATCCAATGGTCATGCAGCTCTATTTAAAACAATCAGATGTTGTGTTTTTTTTTATTATAAATTATCGACGGAAATACAAAAAGTGACTCATAAATATTTCCCCATCGAAGTCTCAAAACAGTTGAATTACTTCATCCCAGTCCTTCTCGTCCCACTGACCATTCTCTCGCACATTCGGCGGGCTTTCCTTCCAGTTCCATTCTTTGATTGGAATCTGCCAATTCCTGCCGTAGTTTGCCATGATATAAGATTCTGTTTCACAAGGAATTCGCACCTTCATTAGGAGAAACTCTGTCCAACAAAGAGTAAATTTTGGAAAGATGTACCTGTGGGCCAAATGAAGTAAAAAGATATACATAAATTACTTTTCATGTCTGCCTGTTATATACCAATTATTTGCGAGGTGAATATTATTCAACGGAATACCTGTTGTAGTTGCATTTTCCCTAGCTTCTCCTTTATGTCAAAGCCACATTTCATATTTGCAAATGTGAAATGTCGCTCAGATGTAGCAGAGTGCGAAAAAAACTTTGCAACCCGCACTAAGCGCGGAAAAACGAGAGACAATCACTCGCTTCCTGGGAAGCCATGGAAACTTTCATTTTTAAAGGTAAGCTTATTTTATCATCCCTGCTTGCAATACTCACATGAACACCCATAGTTTTATACTGAAAATATGCCTAAGAAAAAAAGCTCTGCTCAAATTCACCTTGTCCTAAATCTAAATCCGTTGTTTCCATCAGAATTTCCGTCAATGTTGTTGCAGTTCAAGGCACCAGGTAAGCGCGTCTTGCTTTGTGCAACATTTTTTAAAACTTCATCTTTATTGATCCTTATTTAAAATTATTCTTCCCTTCAATTTCTTCCCAAAACTGAAACTTTCGGTTATCAAACCTGGAAACTCAAAACATTTCAGGGCTCAAATTAGGCTGGCAAAAATTTATCCACGGCGGGCAAATAAACCAGACTTCGTATTTACAAAGTGGATTTGGTAGCCATCTTACTAATAACTTACTTGAATTTTTTTCCCGTTTTAGCCTGTGTTCCACCATTCCACATGTATTCCTTCTCTTCATAGAAAAAGAAGATATCTAACTTCACATAATCCTCTTCTGTTCTAAAGGACAACTCAAAGCTATCGTCTATCTAAACAGAACAGAGGAAGAATGGGTAAGTTAAAAAAAATCCAAAAATAAACCAAACAAATTGAAGTCTATGTTGTATAAGAATACGGTTTACCGACAGCGCTTCAGGCATTACACTAGCCTGAAAATCCAGAGCACCTTTATCTCATAAAATAATGAGGCAAATAAAATCTCTGCCCCTTAGGCGTAATTCAAGAACACATTTGTAAAGATGAATTCAAATTGTAATACGTAAAAACAAGCACTATTTTGCAACTGAAGACAACATGAGTAATGTAGAAACGTGTTTTGTACACTAGAAAATCTTGTTTGTTTCATGTGAACCCTTGAGAAGATTAAACTAAAGTAAAGCTTACCCGGCCGAATCTGTGTTTTAAAAGCAGTCCACTTTTTTCAAATTCAGCAATAAGAAGTGAATTATAGTCCTTGATCCAAATACCAAGGTCAACATCTTTACTATGGGGAATAATATCACACTGCCTGAACCAACCTTAAGATTTGTGAGAAGAGAATACAAATATTTTAAAAAACATTGAGACAGTGCCTTTATTGACATGTTATAAAACATTAGTTGGAATACAAAAAAAAACAAAGTCCTTAACTTTATTATTTATTTATTACTTCAGAGAAGAATTAACCTACACATGCTGAAAGAACAAAATGTGCTGAACGGCACCAGAAATTATTCTGCAAAAAAAGTTTGGATGGATCCAAACAATAGCTGCTTCAAAAATTCACAAAGAACTTTCTTCTTGAGCAATTTTTTTTTTTTGAAAAGGCTGGAAAAGCCTCAGAATTTGTTGACAGACTGTATATAATTGTTTGAATTAGTTAACCCTTAGCTCCTATGAGTGACCAAGAGAGAATTTCTCCTTACTATATCTATACCATATCTTGCAGACGAGTGATAAGAATAAAGAAAAATATCAATTATGGGCTTGCTAATTGATCTGATACCAAATTCTCCAAACTAACATAATAAGAATCATTTAACAGACAGTAAGGAGAATTACTAATGAGATCTTGAGAGTTTAAGGGTTAATTCATGAGTGACAAAAGTAACAAACAAGACAAATAAGGGAAGATTACTAAAGGAATAAATGTCAGAGAATGGTACATGTAGAAAATTGAAAGAAAGGCAGGGAAATGGGGAGTAAACAAGGGAGCAAGTTAAAAAAAAGTTTTAAGATTATGATTGAATGGGTCTGAAAATCTTTGCAGTTGAACTCATCTTGGTTTCGTTAAATCTCCCATGACTTTTCTTACCTAAACATGTTCCACTGCTAAGCCAAAATCTAACACCCAGGCGATCCAGAGTATCGATGGCTGTGGACAAAACTTCTAATGCTTTCTTTTTAAAAAGGACTGCATCTTGGGAAACATCTCTTCCATATTTGCCATAATATGCTTGAGCATTACTGAGATTACAACCTGTAAATTGTGACTGGCTAATCTCTGAGGTAAGCTTCTTTAGATCAGCAGGAATACTGATGGGTATTCCATCGATAACTTTTTCCTCAAACCTTTAGGGGTTATATAACTTTTGTTTTCTAAAACATAAATTGATAAATACAGTTTAACAGTTTTTTTGTCTGGTTTTTTCACTTCGTCAGGATTTAAAGGTCTTGGTAACATGCTCCTTCTCAAAATTTCAACAATAATCCCTTCCCCTCCCGGCAAAAATAATCCTTTTCTTCAATGTATTGAACAAGGTATTAAAAAATATCTTGTCTTCACCAGGGAAAAAAATACAAATAGTTTGCCTTAACTGGGTCCAGATTTATAGGTCTCCACTCAAAATTTCCATAATTCTCCCCTCCCCTACAAGCAAAAATTATTTCAATATATTGAACAAGCATAAAACTAAAAATTTCTTGTCTTCACCAAGGGAAAAAAATACGAATACTTCATGACTGGGTCAGGATTTAAAGGTCTATAATCAAAATTTCCATAATACCAGCACTCCCCTCCCTGCCTTGCAACAATAACAGGTCTTTTTTTTTTAATTGAACAAGGTGTAAAAACTAAAAATGTCTTGTCTTTACTAGCAAGAAAAATACAAATAGTTTGCCTTCATTGGGTCAGGATTTAAAGGTCTCTTTGGTACACTCTTACTCAAAATTAAATTTATATTTAATACATTCTTTCCCTCCTTTCATATACCTTACACATCACACTTGCGGTAAGTTTCTACATCTGCTTACCTGGTATGAGCTGCAGGATATTTGAACAATGTAGCTGCAGTAATTCCTTGAATAGGTCCTTGCCACAAATAAGATTTCCTGTCATAAAATATGACCAGCTTTATAACTACGTCAGCCTTGGTAATATTACATGAAGATAAAATGGACTTGATACTCAAAAAATCTTTACTTGAATCAAACCATGGTTCTGGAACTTTATCACAGGCAGTAAGGAAACCTTGGGTGTGGAGGCCTGACATAAAACGGGACTGACAAAATAAAAAGAAATGAAAGGTCATGTAGATAAATACAAGCAGCCTGATCAATTGGTTGCTTCCACAGTATACACCTACATGTAAATTCTTAACCCTTTAACTCCCATAGTGACCAAGACAGAATTTCTCCTTACAATATCAATACAACATCAACCAGATAAGTGATGAGAATAAAGACAGATATCAATTTGGGGATAATTACTTGATCCAATACTAAATTCTCTGAACTAACATTGTGAGAATTGTATGATTGACAGTAAGAAGAATTACAAATTTGATCTGGGAGTTAAAGGGTTAAAAACTGACATACTCACTATTAATGTTGAAAGTGAATTCCTCTGTCCTTTTTCCCATTTTGAATTTATCACACCAAATACAAAATGTTCATGTCCACACAACAGCCTACATCCATTTGTTTCAGGCTGGATCACTTCAGATACTTGTGGGTCAAATAACAGCGGGTGAAATAAAAATAATGGAGCTCCATGTTTCTGTCCAACATCTGTGAATACCTCTAGTTGGTTCTGAGAAAAAAAGTTTCATGGCTCTTTTATAGTCAATATCAGTATCCCTTGAAATCCCAAGATCTTAAGGGTATCTTTTCTTTAATGCTGGTTATCACATCTTATGGAGAATTGATTTCTGAGAAGTTGAAAAATCCACTGTTTCATAACTTTCTTAATCCTTACCTTCTATAAGCTTGACTAAGGATTGGTATCACAAGAAGTAACTACAAGTGGGTATTAATCAATCCTCTGAGATCAAGAAACTTAAAGTAATGGCACTCCTTTTGGACAAAACTACAGTCCATGAAAGGCTGTCCCTAGTTTTTTTGTCAAGTTTCCCTCCAAAAAAAGCTCCTGGTCGAGTGCCAAGAGTTTCAGTTACATGTTCCATCTACAGGAGTAACATGTTCAAATCCATTTAATAACTGAGCCTTCTGTTGAATCATTCTGGGTTGGTTATTTAAACAAGTTTAGCTGTTGTTGACAAAACTGACTCCTAAAAAATCCTCAATATAGCTGGTCCATTTATCTGAAAATTTATTTTTGAGCAAAGTGTCAAGAGGGTCAAAAGCTAACAGTGGAAGGAAATTTAGTCAATGAAATCATCCCTCTTGTAGAGAAAGCCTGAGGCCCACTGATTATTTAAAAGTGTGGTTTGGGTTAGATCTTGTTTAAACAGCTGGCCCTCTGAGTTTTAGCACTAATTGCTAACCTTGAAAGTTTATGGGAGAAAGTGAATACAACTGCCTGGCCTTTTATGTGGTCTATGGCAGTCTTTAGTTCCTCAGAAAAGTTTCTCATCATCTGTTTTTCCTTTTACTTACTTCAAATTTGTAACAACCACTTAAATTTTCATTAAATTTATGTTGTTGTTGCAATCATTTATCTTTTTGCTTCCTCATCATCCATATTATTCATATTATTATTATTATCATTACTATTATTATCAGAGAATAATAGTAATTAAAACAACAATAGTATAAAATGAATACAAACATGTAAAAATCATTTAACTCATGAAGCCCTAAAAGTAACTAGCATCTACATGTAATTTCCCCAACAACATCATTCCTGAAACAAATATTGAGGTCACAAGAATAAATGAGATGATAACCAACTGAAGGACATCTTGATCGTTAAACAAATTCTCCTTGTCAGCACGTTAGGAAATGTATAGAGAGTAGTATGGAGGATGAGAATGGTGATGTTAGGGTGGAAAGGCTCATGTGTCAACATACCAGTACATCATTCTTCCGTCCACGATTAGAAAGAAGTCCCTGCAAGCTCTTTAACGCTTGAAATCTTGAAAGCAGCTGCGGATGAAATTTAAAAATACTATGAGGACTAACTGCTATCTGACTTCAAAACTGCCAGCACTTGCTAGTAACGCAGTTACTGCGACAGACATAACTCAGCTGACCTTTTTGTCGCACGAGTTGACATTTATGTTTAAATTAAAAAACGTGCTTACCGTACTATCAATTGCTTTTAGAGACAATAATTGTAGAAATAGAAAAGTCACAGAGATAATCAAAAGAAATACAAGTATTATCCATCGTTTAAGGTTAACTTGATCTCTCATCGGCATTGTCCATTACCTAGTATCATCCGCCATGTTTCTATTCCTCGGCCAAGTCTCTTCTCACTTTTTCCCAACAGTCTGGTAACTATCAACATGGCCGCTTTAGTCCGATAGTGAAAAACACGACAGAGGAGCAGAGGGGCATTTTGTTGCGCATGTCCGGTAAATTTTAGTTTGATACGAGAAACCGCTGGTATGCTCCTGCGTCGGTTTCCCTTTCGAGTATCATGAAAGAAAAGAAGCAGTAAAATACGTCGGAAAAAACAATGGTTCGAGTATTTGAGACAACCTTTCTTCTCATTTTTTCTTCTGTAACGTAGATGGAAGCGGCAAATCCTTGAAATTATTGTGTGATGTGTGGAAGGAAGTTATTTTCAGAATGCAAAAGATTATTATTCGAGTCTTGTCTCGTGATTGTCTGGGCGATCGATGAAGATGATGTTATTTTTGAAGGATGCAAGTGGCCTGTCGAAGAGTACAAAAGAATTGGATAGTATACTTTTATCGTGTCATTGCTATCTCAAGTTATAGGTGATCATTTGAAGTACTCGCCTTTCTGTAAGCGTTTTTTAGAGCTTCAACTGTACTGCTAGTGCAGTGTACCTCCAATTTTAGCAAAAATGTAAAGTTTACAGAGGTTTATGTTTTGTTTCAAAAGTTTTTTTGACATGAATCACAACCGGCAGGGCCGATTACCAAAATAAAAAGGTCAATGTCGAGTAAAGAAAAAGTAAGACAATGCTAATGCTAGAGATATGGTAGCTCCATCTGGTTAGAAATGGAGGAATAATTATGGATTTTATCAGAGTAAGATAAAGTCTTTTCAATCATTAGTCTCGGAAATATCATCAGATATGATCGATGATGTGGGGAAATTGTGAAAAGAAAACAAGTACTACTTTGGGCTTCCAGTTGTAAGATGAATAGTTAAATCAATTATTACCCAGTGAAAATCACTATCATTTATCATTTCAACTGCACAAAAAAAAATCATATACACTCTTTGCAACCTTATTCTCCAACCTATTAAATTACAAGAGTTGTGTGACAATTTGATGGTCTGAAAAGACTCTTACACATGCTAAACAACAAAGAACCAGTAAGGCTGATATTTAACAGTGAGGTAAAAAAAAAAAAAAGCCTTTTCTTTTCAGGAATAAGACTTAGTGAGGTCAGATTAAACTAATGTGAAGAGGTTTGTTGATCTCTTTATGAAAATTGATGCTCTACATCTATCAGATTTTAGAGAAATGAGACCTAAGTCAAAAGGGGACTTTGATATTGCATATTCTGCAGTAATGGGCATCAGCTTGGATGCCTATTTACAGAAATTAATAGTTTTCAAGCCAGGGGTTTGGCTGTGCTAATTGGCAGAAAATCATAAATCAGTCGCTTAAGAAATTTTATAGCTCTAACTGGAAGCTCAAACACTCTTAAGGAACAGGACAATATTTCACCTGATCACTCCTCATATTGTTTTCCCATGAAATTTGGACAAAACTTTCAAAAAACTTTATTGGTAATTTTATAGTTGCAAAAAAGGTATAGACACAAGTTGCATATAGCATAAGCTAGTTGAGGCAAGTTGTGTGGAGAGAACAAAAGATTGATAATTTATACCAGTAGTAAGCTTCTGGTACTAATGACATTCTCTTGAATGCCAGCTTGCCACAGCAAATGTCACACCTATCCTTTCTGTCAATAGTACCGACCATATGTAGTGGGGTCACTTCACATCTCCCTAAACAGCAGAGAACACAATAGTTAATTCCAATCATCAGTCTCAATTAAGAAATAAAAATTGAAGGATCAAGACTTATCTGGCAAAGAGAAATACAAGTCCAACTGGTTTGAAGACATTTTAACCCGAAATTCGTTTTCAAATATGACAGAAATACTGTAGTTCACATTCTAAAGAAAGAGAGTTCCAGCCCCTTGAGTAATTATTCATTTATTGTATCGCTCACCTCATGTTTTAAGAACCAGAGAAAGTTAGATAATTTTAATCTGCGAGTTTTAGAGTACACTTCGACTCAAAATTCATTTCGTATGGCAGAAGTATTCTACTGAAATAAACAAGACAGAATGAAGCTGACGCCATCCGTTTCGAATAACACATGAACATGAAGAAAACGGCACCAGTTTAAACTCATGAGACAAAGCCCACGGATTTTTTGGAGGTAAATGAACTGGTTAGACCGAAGGCTAAATAAATAAACAATGAACTGACAGTGGTGAGAGATTTGGGGGCCATGTGATAAAACAAGTTCTACCGAAGTTTATCCTCTAGTTAGCCCTTCAAGCCCAAAAGGGCAATCAGAAAAATTCTCACCAAAACACAGCAAAAAAATTAGATAAAACCGCAGATGATCGAGGCAAGACTATAAACGTTGTTAAGACGCATGCCTACGTACCAAGTACAACAGACTTGGAGAGCAAAATGGCCAAAGACAGTTGTGAGCCATGACTTTGAAAATCCACCTCAACCTCCCAAAAACGAATTCGCCGAAGGTTATAGAAAGAGCAACTCAATCCTGAAGCTGGAAGATTTTTTTAAGCCTTGTGTCCAATGGGACAACAAAGAGAAAGAAGATAAGATGTTATTTGAAGTGATTTGAAGCTTGGGGGCCACCTCGAACTTAACGTAATTTTATTTCAAAGTTGAAGTAAAATAAGATCCAATTGTAAACTACCTTCTATTATCGTAACGAATATCTCACGATCGCCTCCACACATCACTTCGTGATTTATAGAAGTAAGACATCAACATCTTAAGACTAACCTTCAAGGTTTGTAGTCTCATGTGCACATCTTGATCGTCAGCAAATCAAATCTCAAACTTCAAGTTTTCGACTTTTTTCCTCGTTTTGTTCGCACTTTGATCATTAAAATATCCTCATCCGAAGAGCCAGCAAACTCCACAAGTATCCACAGAGTTAGAAATGGTAGTAAACTTGTCATACTCTTCCATCCCTCTCCAAAAAATATCACAGAAAGGTGTCGATCGCTCAGTTGAAAACCCGCAAAAGCGCGCTGAAAATATCAAAATGGCGCCGAACGCGCCGAACAAATTTTCTTGGCGCATGCGCAACAAAATGCCCCTCTGCTCGACAGAGGAAGATAATGTCAAATGGAAAAGTTCTCTTTTTAGGTGTGGCATTATTTGCGTTTTTTCTATCGGTTCCGTTCGCCCTAAACGTATTCCAACCATCGGAAGATAAGGTCTAGTATACTATTGTGGTACGCGAAAAGATATTGAGATAGAGATGTGTAAACTTTCATATATTTGCACCTCGGTGAAGAGATGAAATTAAGAGATCCTCGCAGCTAAGAACACTGGAGATCATGGGTTCAAATCCCGTACGGGCCTGAATTTTTTTCAGGTCCTATTTTCAACTACTCGTTTCAGTAGTGTTCTTAGCTGCGAGGATCTCTTAATTTCATCTCTTCACCGCAGTGCAAATATATGAAATTCATATATCTAAAATCTTCATTCATTACTTGGATGGTTTATTTGGACCCAACACATTGAACAGCTCCTAGTTGGCTCGTTAGCTCAGTTGGTAGAGCGCTGCACCGGTATTGCAGAGGTCATGGGTTCAAATCCCGTACGGGCCTGAATTTTTTTTAGGTCCTATTTTCAAATACTCATTTCAGTAGTGTTCTTAGCTGCGAGGATCTCTTAATTTCATCTCTTCACTGCAGTGCAAATATATGAAATTCATATATCTAAAATCTTCATTCATTACTTGGATGGTTTATTTGGACCCAACACATTGACCAGCTTCCAGTTGGCTTGTTAGCTCATTTGGTAGAGCGCTGCACCGGTATTGCAGAGGTCATGGGTTCAAATCCCGTACAGGCCTGAATTTTTTTTAGGTCCTATTTTCAACTACTCATTTCAGTAGTGTTCTTAGCTGCAAGGATCTCTTAATTTCATCTCTTCACCGCAGTTCAAATATATGAATTCATATATATAAAATCTTCATTCATACTTGGATGGTTTATTTGGACCCAACACATTGACCAGCTTCCAGTTGGCTTGTTAGCTCATTTGGTAGAGCGCTGCACTGGTATTGCAGAGGTCATGGGTTCAAATCCTGTATGGGCCTGAATTTTTCTCAGGTCCTATTTTCAACTACTTGTTTCAGTAGTGTTCTTAACTGCGAGGATCTCTTAATTTCATGTGTAAACTTGTTCAACTTCAGGTAATTTAGCGTTAACAACTAAGTTGAATACGTAAATTGACCACCGTAAAAAAAAAAAAACTGACGTTTTGAGCATTAGCCCTTCGTCAGAGCCATTGGAGGAATTGTGGGTTGTGTGTAGGTTTAAATGCAGCAAGTGGAGCTACATTATAGGCGGGAGTATGGTGACGAGAAAACAAGAATAAATTGGTTGAATGAAAAGTGCTCGTTGATACCATGGGGACTAATAGAGCCGATTTAGAAGATATATTTTTGTTCTAGTGTTTTGCGGAAAGCCACTCGCTCCAATGAAGGGCTAACACTTGTAGCGTCAGCTTTTTTACTATTTATGGTGGTTGATTTACGTTTTCAATTCAGTTGTTAACACTAAATTACCTGCTATACTCTCCCACCAACACAGCACCACAGTTTCTTTAGAAACTTACCCCCTTTGTTCAACTTCAGCCAGGCTGTAAACTTTATTTTGGTGATGTTTGATTGTTTTGGATTTATGGATAAGATGTGTGACTAAAATTTGCTTGAATTTTCTTCATAAAGGTTGTTGAAGCAGGCCATTTGAAAACTGCAGTATACATGATTGGAACCACTCAAAACACTCAAAACACTTCTGCAGTAAATGTTCTCAAGTTCTTTGATCTAACCGATGGTTTGGAATTGAGCTGGGCTCATGCGGTGAACAGTCAGTTAAAACTTAAGGAAGCCTTATCTGGAAAGAGTATGATGTTAGAGGCAGATATACTTCTATGTCCCAAAGATGGAACACCAATAATGGCACATCCACCCAACACTGACAGTGATCTTTCACTCACTCGGTTTCTGGAAAAAACTGTTGGTTCGAATAAAGGACTTAAGCTGGATTTTAAAGAAACAGCTGCAATTGAGCCTTCACTAAAAATTCTTACCAATCAGATCACAGAGCAGCATGGTGCAACTATTCCAATATGGCTTAATGCAGATATCCTCCATGGTCCCTGTCATACAGACTGTAATGATCCTGTTGATCCAAAAGTGTTTCTTTCTCTCTGTGCAAAATATTTCCCTTCAGTTACATTATCAGTTGGCTGGACTACAGGCAGTCATATTTCTAAGGAAAATGATGGTTATGATTGGCATCTCATTTGGCCAATGAAAGAGTTGCTCTCAAATTTGACTCAGCCAATCACTTTTCCAATTAGAGCCAATTTGATTGGTAATTCAATAGAGCAGTTAATATGGCTTCTTGGTCTCTCTGATGAGTACACCTTAACAATCTGGTCAGGAAACTTTGACACTCCAAACATGAAAGACCTTGCCACTCTGCGTAATAGAGTGTCTGACAAAACAAGGATCTTTTATGACCTGCCTTTAGATCAGGAAACAAAATTCAAGGAAGAACTACAACATTACAGATAATTTTTAGAGGCCCTCATACTGATGTAAGAGGCTTCTTTTTTAGCTCATATTTGAAGTAATGATGGTAATAATAATAACAATAATAATAATGTATTTAATAATCGTAACTACTTGAAATGAATGAGAAACCAATTAAAATTCATAAAAGTGTGAAAATTTGCACTTCCTCTAGCTTTTAATATGGAGACATATCTTTTATAACTACTGTTTCCATCTCTTGATTTTAAATAACATGATGTACAAATACCTTTACTGCCAATTTAAATTGAGTTTGAAGTAATTGGTGTTAATTACTAGTAGTTGACTGCAGTTTTCTCTTAGAAATGATTACCCTACTGTTGTACTCTCCATTGTTGGAGACTTTGTGACATGTGTCAGATGATGAGCGTGAACATTATGTCAAGAGCTGGAAGCACTGCCTGTAGTGATTTTGGGACATTGATTAGTTTGCCTGATCGATGCAACCTTGAATGATTTTTTAAATCAGTACTTAGCAACAACCAATCACAATGTAGAGAATATAATATAAGAGAGTGATTTCTTACAAATTTTGCAGAGTAGCTTTTTACACACCCGTTGTAAATAAGCGAATAAGAGAGTGGAATAAAACAGTTTGATTGAGTTTGGTTCATTAGAATTCTATCCCTAGTAAATGGGGCAAAGTTTACAAAATCATCAGTTTGAAAACCTTTAGAAGACAGTGTCCTCTATAGCCCTCTTTGTATACAATTGCATCATATAAAGGTTACCTTCATTGGCACATAATATCTAACTAAAAGGGAACCAAAAACGAAAAATTTGTTTGGGACTAATATATCTTTGTTGTGAGTGCATCCCTTGTCTAAATCTTTTTTCTTTATCATATTCCAATATTTAAGGAATGTTGATGTCCTGTAGATATTGTTCTACCAACCATTATGCTAAGGCACTGTGACTTTGAAGCTTGTGTATGTACCATATAGAGCTTGTGCATGCATATCTACCTTGCAAGTTGTTTACTTTGCAGGATTGGTACACTTTCAAGCAAAGCTGTTACCTCAAGATAGAGGTAGCAAACATAATGGATGGTCAAACAAATTTTCAGTTGCCTGTCAAACGTTTTTTTTCAATTTCTCAGAGTAATCATTTCCTAGACAAAACTGTGGTCAAGTAGCAGCAACTGGTGTATAGTTACCTTAGTTAAATGATGTCTAGAGTTCTCTTGGTATGTTTACCACCTATAAGTAAAAGATTCTAGGCAAAGTCACTATTGTTCATATCTAAACAAAACTATGAAACAGTGCCATCACAACAAGTGAAATTATTCCAAAATAACACCTCAAGGAGCTACAACCTGCCAACCCAGGCAGTGCAACTGCAAAGTGAACATCTCTCACAAGAATTGCATCTGACAGTACTCCTGTGGTGATTAAGGCATAACCCCCAGCTGGCTCGCTTTTTACATCCAAGGAAACAGTTGCTTTACTTTGATGGTTTTCCCTTGCAGTAATTTCACATTTGACAGTTCTCATTTCTGTATCAGTTGAATCTTCTGAGATTTTAAAGTTGAACTCACCCTTATCACTTTTTACTGATCCTTCCTTCATATCATTTTCAGCTATAGAGAGTCGAAAGTTGCCATCGCTGTGCAGCAATAACGAGACTACCTGACCTGAGAGTACAGCCTCACCAGTTTCATCTTTAACATGCAGTTTGATGGTAACACTTCCACTCTCTCTAGCTCCATCAAGCTTGATGAAGGAAACATTACCTGTAAATTCTGAGAATGCACCATTTGATACTTTGTACAGAGTCTTCTCAGAAACAACTGTTCCACCCTGTCCTGAAAACATTACACTGTTATGACCAACAAGAACATCTTGGCAATCCTTTGCAGCTGAAGCTTTCCATTCAAAAGCCTCTTTCTTTTTAACAATGTCACTGTTGGACTTTAGAGCATCTTCAAAGGCCTTTTCCTGATCAGGTGGAAGGTCATAATAGATTCTTTTAAATGACACATTATTACGTAGAGCAACAAGGTCTAGAGGATCAAGCTTATCAGTTGTAGAAGACCAGATTGTCACAGTGAATTCTTCTGACAAGTCAAGTAACCACTGAAGCTGATCCCATGACCTTTGCACAAGATTAGCACGGAAAGGAAAGGTGATTGGCTGTGCAATCTGGGATACAAGTTTTCCCATTGGGAGAACTTGGGACCAGTTGTAGTAGTTTTTTGATGCTGTCATATTATTTCCTGTTGTCCAGCTAATAGAAAGGGTTGCATTGGGGTAGTAACTTTTGCACAGAGACAGGAACCTCTCATGGTCCACAGGAACACAAACTTCATCATAGCAAGGACCAGGTAGTATATCAGCATTCAACCAAATTGGGTTGGTGACCTGTTGCCCAGACGTTACATTTTTTATCATCTTTAAGGCAGGTTCCACTACTTGAATTGTCTTGAAGTCCAACTTGATTCCTTTGCTGAGTGAGGTGGTTGTTTTCTCCAGAAAAGTTTGCAAGGTTAAGTTGCTGTCTACAGCTGGGGGATGGGCCATAACAGGGGTTCCATCCACCATGTTGTTCCGCATCAAGACATCTGCCTCCAGCATCATTGTCTTGCCTGACAGCCCCTGTTCTAATAACTCAGGTGAGTTGACAGCATGTAACCATGTGACATCATTTCCATCAGTCACTTCAAAGAACTTCAAAATGTCATCTTGGGCATGATGAATCATCTTACAAGGCACACTTATTACAAATGGGTAAATCAATCCTATAAAGTGAAAAAAGGAAGATAATTTAGTCACAGGACCTTGCCAGTATTCAAAGTACATTCTCAAGTCTGTGTGACTTCATCTGCTTGACTTCTTTATATTACGACTCTCTCTGTGACTATCATTGGTTGTTCTTGGGGAGAGTTGATTGTGGTGTCTGTCATTTGGTTCATACAGACCTTAAGCTTTTCCCTTCTGTGTTCCTTTCCCAACTGGCTCAAACAATCACAATGTTTTTGTCACATAATACAGTAAAAAAAAAACAACACTTTATCTGATATTTCAATATTGTACCTTCATGTATCAATATCAACACTCTTTTTCCACAGGGAAAATTACATGATGTTGTGTGTCTTATCACGAATAATAAATAATAAAATCTGGGTCCATTTATTTAGCTCCTATCCTGTGAAGCTTCACTCCACTTAAATAGCCTTGATTCAATTGGTTGATGACATTGCTTCTTCTACAGACAACAAAGAAACAACTGTTCCAGTTTTTCTAGGTCTTGCCAAAAATTTTAAACCTTTTGACACTCTTAATCATTGTATCTTGCTCCATAAACTAGATCACTATGCTTTAGGGGAGATACTCTATTAACAAACAAGAAACAGTATTGTTCAGTTTGGTATAGCTACTGTATACAACAGGAAAAAATTACATTTATAAGGTATCCTACAATGATCAATATTTAGCCCACTTCTAGCCCAAGCCAAGCCCACTTCTCTTTAATATCTAATTAAATGACCTCCCAAATGCACATAATCTAGTAAAAACATTTCTCTTTTTTATTCACATGCTGATCCCAGACAGACCAAATATGTTACAAGTTGTTCACAATGATGAAGATATTGGACTGGCTTAAAGCCAAAAAATTATCCCTTAATATCGCAATAATAAATTATATTGATATTTTTCTCTTTTGCTCAACAATTTATATTATTATAAAACTTGATATTATACTGGTATTGGGCAGGTTGAGGTTACAAAGTTTCTCAGAATTTGAATCGATCAGCACCTCCTGCGGAAGTACGGTGTACACATATGTCATGTTACTAAAAAGATATCAAAGTATATTGGTCAGGAATTAGAAGAAAATCTGACTCACTTCTCTCTTTCTTCGAATCCTTTTTTATCTTCATAATATACCCTACATAAAGGATATTACATGGCCGCTTGAAGATACGAAATTTCTCTTCGAGTGTCGAAAATTATTTCACGAGTGAGCAAAGCACCAATATCAAAGACGCTGAGAGAATTCCTGACTGCCGGGCATTTAGCCGCAGGGAATAAAATAATTGATTAAATAAATAAAAGAGCAGAATTCGAGCTACGACCAATTCGGCAGCGCGCTCTTCCGAATGCAGTCTCCTTCGTGATCAGAAAGTCAATCTTGAATTTCCTTGACCACAATAAGTTTAAAAAAGATCTTTGCCTTGGATTCAGTAGCTGTGCTGTTGCAAATTAAAGCCCTTAAAGACAAACTACATTGATGCACACGACACTTTGTTACTACATTCATGTAAGCTTAAAAGCTTCACATCTAGGAGATGAAAAAGTGAAAAATTAAAACCCCAACTTATATAACCACAACCTATTTATTCTTACCAAGATATGTGGCAAGTAAGACGAAAATTGACGTCGCCATCCTCATCTTTGAGAACCTACAATAATTGAAGAAGTTCAACTGTTTGAGTAAAATTAGGACTGGGCCGGACGATTCATGAATCGCGTGACTTTGATTCGATTTTGTAGAGAAGTTTCTAAGGAAACTGTCATACTGTAGGTCCTCCCACCCCGCTCAAATTATTAGGGTGAAATTAGGGTGGTTTTGCAAGAGGACGGAAACGTCATTTCAGAAAGGGAAAGCGCACGGATAGTCTGGACACGACTCTATTTCGACTTCCGGTGTTTACGTTGCCGTCCTTCCCAAACAAGTTCAGGACGTCATTTCGCTGGTTTCACTGTCGCGATCAAAACGCCTGGGATTTGCGTAAATTTTGCGCTTAAAAACGAGATAATGCTGTTTGGAATTATATCAGGAATTATTTCAGAACTCATTTCCAGGATAACCTGGTCCTTTCCTTTGGTTTATTGGGTGTATTTTGGGAAAATTTACCGCTTCATTTATGCTGCATTCCCGAAAGGAAACAATCGTTGGCAAACGCCGGATCCAAGATTTTAGGGCTCAGTACACTTGTAATTGAGCAAGGCTTAAAACAGCGAAAGGGCTGTTCTTTGAAAACTCTAAGAATGGGACGCTTTTAATTTTATCATGAATCAATTCATCAATAAATTAAACTTGCTTCGTGTTGAAGTTTATCAAAATGAAATATCACGGCGCTTACCTACTGTATTATTCGGTGTTATCTGTTGTTATTGTCGTTTTTACCATGATTGAAAACTTTTCTGCGAATTGAGGTCAGAGATGAAAAAAAATGAGAATAGCTTATGTTTGAAATTTTTGATCAGCGCTGGTGAAAACTAAGACAAGAAAGTCATGCTCTCGCTTCGAAATAAAATGACAATCAATTTGATTTCGGCACAGCTTTCTAAATCAATTAATTTGATTCAGTCTTGAACGACTTTATTTCTTTAAAAAAATTAAATTAAACAAAAACGAAAAAAAAGTAAAACAGGAACGGAGTCTTATTCCTAAGTTAAACCGTTTCGTTGGTGACTAGTTTGAGTTAATTTCATTCTTTCACGGATAAATAAGAACTCTCGTAAAAAACTCCATCGTTGGGTCACTTAGTTTCTACATGGTTTCGCCTGATAATTCCGTTAAAAAAGCATTTCAACTCTAAGAAGGTGGTGCTCAAAAGAGATGTACTGTCATAATCGAGAAGAATATTCTGTAAACAAGGGGAAAAACGACGACGATTTCCAAATTATCCTTTACAAAATTATGAAGAAAAACGAGCAGTGCTGAAATCTAGTAGCACGAAACGAAATGAAAGCGACACAAATCATAGAAAAAAACTCTTTAGTGGGCTTCAAAATTTGATCGATGAATTCGCAGACTCGAGACTAAACTGGAATGGAATAGTTTCAAAGTTTAATGGCCTATGTGGATTCATATTAACAACTTACTTGCCGTATCTATAAATATCCTCTGTTTGTGCTTGTTACATAACTCTCAAAGAAGATAATTTCGTTGTCCCTAGTGATTGTTGTCCCTAGATGAGTCCCTAGATGAGTCCCTAGATGAGTGGTACATAAAACCGAAAATTCAAAGGTGATGGTCATCTTTAAAAAGCCGAGGTGAGGATTCCCGTTGCTACGACTGCTAATGAAGAAATGTAAAATGGTTTCCGTGTTTACATAGCATGATGTAAACACGCGGGAGGTTGGTAGAACACGAGATAAGCGTAGGAAACCACGACGCGAAGCGGAGTGGTTTCCAGCTTATCGAGTGTTCTCCCAACCTCCCAAGTGTTTACATCAGGCTATGTCAACACGGAAACCATTTTACATTTCTTTTATAGAATAACTAATGAAAGAGGAACGAAAACCGTGTTTACATACGCTCATGTAAAATGGTTTTATGGCCAATCAGAGCGCGCGTACTATTTGAATTATTTTATAAATCACTTTTCAACACAACGCGACAGCGTCTTATCGACACTATTTTTGCAGCGCGCGCCGTTCTGAAATGACACTCCCGTCCTCTTGCTAAACCACTCTATTTTTGTAAAGAAGAGCCGCCATCCGGCCATCTGATAAAGAGTTAGCATTCACCGAGCATTTATCCTAGTGCAAACGAATACATCGTTGGTAGACCTTGTAGAACCTTTGACTGAGTTGCTCACTTGCGAAAGAGAACTATGTAAACACCTCCATAACTCCGCTGGAACGACTTGACACTTCCGGTTCAAATTCCCCACCCCACGGGCACAGACAACGGTCAATTGCCCGTTGGTTTCCCGGAGGGAGGAAGTCGAAGCCTCTAACTGACCAGCGCATTATGTCAACTAAAGAAAGCTTTGCAAAATCATCGAAGTGGATGTTTGGCTTAGCCGTTGAAATATTTTTTTTTCACCGGTTGCACACGCTGACAAGCTGATGCTGGTCAAGGCCACTGACATGTATCAGATCCAAGCCCTTTCAGGTTGATCAGCCGTGGAACCGATCTCCTTCGCAGTCGTTCTTTGGTCACGCAACGCTCCCCCGAGAGAAACAGCCGTTTCTCTAAGGGAGGAGCGTTGCGTGACATCTTAAAGAACGACTGTGAAGGAGACCACCGTGGAATTTGTCTAACCAATCCCCGTAGAAATACCGTAAATGCTCTTGTAAGCCCTTGTCGCCCCTATTAAACCTCCACGTGACGTACTCATTCTCTAATGTCCTCTCTAGTGACGCCGCCCTTAAGACAAATGTAGTTGAGCTGTCAGAAAGTCTCAGTGTCCCCTCCCTCCCTGTCTCTTTCTCTCTTTGGTAAAACCTCATTCTGAAATTGCGGAAGTCCTGCAAATTGGAAAGTCCCGCCCGGAAATAAAAATTTTATGCAAATGTCAATGATGCGAATAAGATATGAAGCAACTAATAACCCCTAGGGTCCTCAACCGAACAGTATCACCTTTAAGGAACGTAACCTTGGGATCTCGTGTTCATACCTCTGAGAACATCATCAGTTTAATCGCCGATTATGCCTTACCTCATCAGAGCAACTGTTGGTCGATCGTGTAACTGACATACTGTCACAGTTCTGGGGTCGATACTGGAGTACTTTTATTTACAAGGGACATCACGCCATTAACGACGGGCTGGGCAAGCATCTGTAGAAGATGATTCCACAGTGCCCCTGGGGAAAGGTGGTGAGGGCTGACGTTAAAGAATTGGATTCTATAACGTCAGCCATCATACATTCCATTGTTGGCAGAAGATTATAACAATAATTATTTCACAAAGTTATATTAAATGGCCTCTAGCTAAATTCTGTTAGCTTTATGGCTTATTGCGTTTATGAATTAGTGGAGAGATTGGTAAATTATTTTGTTTACATGGGTCTGCCTTTTACGAGAAACTGAAAACATTAGTATAATAGCGGAGGTTAAGCTAACCAAAATTACTCTAAGACCCAGTTCGGCGCAATGTTGTTGATTCATACTTCCGTGTGCCTATAAATCAATAAAGATATGTATTCGAATGGTGAGCCAAATATTTGTAAATTTCTCTCGAGAATAATGGGTCACAGTTTTTAAAAACTAATTCAAAACGCCGGAAACCACAGAGACATCTGGCATCGAGACCGCTGACCGCCTTATCATGGAATCTTGCGATAAGAAAAAATTCTCATCGCGCCGCGAATCTAGAATAGAGTCAAAAAAATTATCATGGGTCATGGGGATAAATTCTCGTGGTTTATAATCCCTTGATTTTTGGTTGTTTTCAGCGCAACTATATCTACTGTTACCCCTTGAAATGAGCAAATCCAATAGAGCCGACAAATGATGTTCTGGTTAGAATCCAGTTTCCCAATTTTTTTCTCAACTACTCGGCCAGGCTCTCGTCACTGGGGTTGTAGCCCAAAACGTCTTGGCAATACCCTTCCAGCTGTTATTCGCTGGAGACTTGTGCAAAGAGAACACCTAGAATACTCATGATCAGTATCACAAATCACAAATGATGATCAAAAAATGCATTCTATGAAAAACAGTCGGTGTGTGTGCATCCACTCAAAGCAGAACTTTTCAAACCATTTTTCAGGCTGCAAGCAATGCTGTTCCAAATAAACTGCGCGTCTGATTGAGGAAACATAGAAAAGATAAGTTAACAATTAAAATTTTTATAAATTAAAAACTGTATATTGCCGTAAATCCAGAAGTGAAATTTCCCGAGACGCACTCGTACTTTCCAAAGGGAAAATTCGCGTGGAGAACACAGTCAATATGGCAATCCGGCCTGACAATTATTTTTTTAATGTCAGTGAGTTGCCAGCTTGGAGCTTGTGTGCACAATTCAGATTTCATAGCTAAAATCAGAGCTGATAATTTCAATAAATAACAAGACAGATTTTGTAACAAAAAATCTGCATTGCACTTTTCTCAATAAATCACAACATAAAACTTCATGCTGCGATTTATTTCGTGAAATTTAGACCTTTTGAATTTCTTTTCGGCCAAAAATTCAAATAGGGAATGAAATATAACGCAGCCGAAATTTCGCAATGAAAATTCGGGTCGTTAAGGGTTTGTAACAGAACGTGTGAATGAATAATACTGTCATAAAATTCGAACGCGTTCTACGAGGAACAAGGCATGCCAAGAGTCTAAATGAATAACGGTCATAAATCAAGCGACAAACTAAAACCTTACATGCTACCGTCAAGGTCGCGGCAGATGAAACAGAACTGTCCACACTGTTTTCGGCAACACATCTATATTTTCCTACATCTGATTGACCGACATCCTTGATTGTCAAACTGTGACTGACGCTCGTTGAAGATACATTGAACCGTGGATTGTCCTCGACATTCATTCTTACTCCATCTTTTGTCCAATGAAATATTGGTTGAGGGTTCCCCATTGCTGAACAGCTAAATATCACCTCTTGTCCTTGCTTCTTCGTGGCGTCCTTTGGATTTTTGGATATTTCAGGTGCAACTGATAATGCAAAAGAAAAAATACGAATGAATACATAAACTCAATTTTTTCCAAATTGTACCTGCTATTCATTAATTCCTACAAAATTGTCCCCAAAAATAGGCATCATGAATGTTTCTGTTCTAAAAGTAGTGTAACGATAATGTCAAGATTGTTTACATGCACTGTTATAACCAGGCAAACTGCCATTTTGTGACTCCTAGCTAGTATTCTCTCCACTAATTACAGATCTTTGGCATTAGAGGGTACTCATTACAATCAGATAAGTCAAGTTCACTGAAACATCGCTTTTGCTCCGAGAAAGACAGATTAAGAGAGAAGTAAAGAGAGAGAAAGAAAAACAACGAGACACAGCCTAACTATGTTATTTACTTGATAAGAGCAAGGATATTACATTGGATATTTAGCGAAGCTATCCTAGAGGATTCATTCCCCAGTCTGTTGTATGCCACACATCTGTATTGTCCGCTGTCTGTTCTTCTCAAATCCAACATTGTTATCTTTTTGTTGTCCAATGAGAAACGTATCCTGGGATTGTCTCGCATAGGAGATCCATCTTTAGTCCACGATATTGTCGGTTCTGGATTTCCATCAGCGTCACAGACTAAAGTCACATTTCTTCCCTCTGGTTTGGTCTTGGACTCGGGATGAATGGTAACCTTAGGTGGGCCTGTGTATCAAAAAACTCGTAAAAAAATTGGAAAAGAAATTAAATTCTTAGGAGCATCGATTTTGCCTAAAGATACCATGTGTTTTATCAGCCTGATTTAGTTGTACTTACTGCTTGCGTGCAAAATGGTGATAACTATGGGATTACCGACAGGAGATCGGGAGTAGAAAAAGTCGTCATCAAAATAATTGCACATGTACTCACGTCTTTATTTTTTAAAATAAATTCCTTTGTACACCTCTTCTCCATCGCAATATCACAAAGAAAGAGGATGTGTTTGCGAGAGATGTACCATGTTTTTACGAGAAATATGTATGAACTTATATTACTTGTAAAAATTGAGACATTCATCTTTATCCTGTGGTATAGTGAAAATGGTACATGCAATACTAAGTTACTTCTTACATTGAACAAAACACTCACGGTCCTGATCGGTGATAACAAAAATAGGATTACTGGACGGTCCATTTCCTTTCGCCGTAGATGCGAACACTGTGATGCTGTAGTTGACATACTCTTTCAGACCTGTCAGGTACAATTGATGATCTGCACAGTCCACTGTTTTACTGCCGTTGTCATCCTCAGTTAGCGAATAATAGGAAATCGTGCAAGTCAAAATGATACCATTCTGATTAGCAGCTGGAACATCACCCCACTCCACTAAGATGCTGGTTGAGCTTGTGTTATGTCCTCTCACATTCGTAGGAGCTGCAGAAGGCTCTGAGGTAAACAAAGACGTAATGTTTATTGAACAATGACGACATTGCAAAAATGACTCGTTTTACCTATGAGCAGAATCGTTTTACCTAACCGAAATCATATTTGGCTCATTCTCTATAGACCTGCGTAAATTCTATATGCCATGAACTTTGTGCAAACATACATAAACTAAATGACTGTAAATATATGAAAATCATAGATGTGAACTGCGATTGAAGAAATGAATATGGAAGCGATCCTCGCAGTTATGAACACTATGACGTAAGTAGTAGTGAAAATAAGGCCTGAAGAAAATTCAGGCCCCTACGGGATTTGAACTTATGACCTCTGCGATACATGTAGGTAGAGCGCTATCCCAATTGAGTTAACAGGCCAATTGGGAGGTGGTCATTATGTTGGTTCCAAATAAAACCTTAGCCCTCATTTCGCTAATACTTAAGTAGTGTTCACAGGATCACTTCCATATTCACTTAACTTAGAGTCTTTTTTACCTTCTTCATTTGTGGTAACATTCAATAAGGAGCTGCTAACACTTGAGCCAGCCACGTTGCTCGCAAACACTCTAACGAAGTATGTTGTCCAGGGAAGAAGGTCATTAAGAGAAGCCCTTGTAAAGGAGCTGGATATCACACAGGAACTTCTTGAGAGAGATCCTTGGCAAAACACATCTCTGAAGGACGTCTGATCGTGCGCACTGATCTCTATCTTGTAGTTTGTAATAGCATTGTTTCCATCAAAACCAGCTGTCCAGGAGATATTTACGACTCTTGAACTCTTTGATACAACTCTCACATATTTTGGTGGGCTGGGTGTAGCTAACGGGTTAAAAGAATGGTTTTTAGATAGTCCACTGGATTTTTTTTAGATCAAAGAAATTCCACTATTACGGGAACGAAAAAAAAAAACGAAACAAATATCAGGAATTTTATCTGTTAGCCACTAGTTAAACCTAGTTCCTATTTAACTTTCATTACCCCCTTCTTTTGCAATGACATTCTGAGGATGAACGGTGGTCGTGGAAATATCTGAAGTCAGAATGATAAAATATTGATTTTCACTATTTGAATTTTAAGAGCGAAGCTACAAGGTGGTTCCTCAAACAGTAATGTTGTTTTTTCAAGGTCACTGTAGACCTCTAAATATTTCTGTTAGTTAACCCTTTCACTCCCGTGATCTCTTTAGTAATTCTCATTACTGCCTGCCATACATTGCTTATAATTTTAGTGTGGAGAATTTGGTATTTTTCTATATTCTCATTACTTGCCTACTTGAGATGGTATAGATATTGTGAGGAGAAATTCATTCTTGGTCACTAATGGGAGTGAAAGGGTTAACAACTATTCACCGACTAAGTAAAGATGGTTTGTTGCGGATATTTCTCCACTGGTAGCGACCGACACTGAGGTGAATAGTTGTTTTAGTATATACTAAAACAGTGAGATAATATGGTGCAAATAGATGAATTCAACTCATTTATTCCTGCAACGATTATAATATTTTCGGGCGCAAATCCCGCACGAGTTACTCGGAGGTGAATTGCATAAGGGATATTTGCAGTTTGAATAGCCAATCAGAGCGCACTTTGAATGCTATTTTAGTATATATAGTTATGGACGTTACTGATTATTTATCCTCAAATATAAAAATTCAATTATGAAGTTTAAGTTAAGGGTTTTTTTTTTAATGCTATATGATCAAATATATTTAAATGTGGAAGTACTCACACCATACTTTAAGAGTCTCCCCAAGAGATGTTGAGATTCCGACACTGTTGATAGCCATACATCTATATTGGCCTGCGTCTGATCGACTGACATTAATGATATTCAAGCTGTAAATGGAGTTCCATGAGACTGCACTTAGTCGTGGATTTGTTGTCACGTTCAATGTCAAACCATTTTTTGTCCAATAAACAAGAGGTGGAGGGTTTCCCACAATTATACAGCTAAATACTAAGTATTTGTTTCCTTCCATAGTGTGCTGAGTAATGTTCACTGGAAGCTGGTTAAGGATTTCGGGCGCAACTTGTGAAGAAATAAAAATTATTGAATGCCAAATAATATCACTTTTTCTTAAGGAGGGACTAGGGAGAAATCGAACCTCAGACCTTCGGATTCCGCGCTTCGATGCTCTAACCACTGAGCCACAGAGACTCCTCGCTCACTGTGGAGTCTCTGTGGCTCAGTGGTTAAAGCATCGGAGCGGGGAATCCGAAGGTCTGAGGTTCGATTTCTAATGGGGACTCAAAAATTTTTGTTTTTCCTACGCTCGTGACAAGACGAAAAAACATTTTTCTGTATTGAAAACTGCTCACAGATTCAAGAGATCAGCCAGTAAATCTTTGAGTTTATGATCTGGATAACTCTTCGACACAACTCGCTCATGTAGAAAGGAAAACAGTTAATCAGAGTGATCTTGAAGAGCCGAGTCTTGGCGCCGATTTTTTATAGTATATTTACTCTATAGAAATACTATTCTAATTTTATAGAATAGTATTTTTTTTAGTTGTTGTTTGTATTTTGACTCACCTTGCAGCCTTATCAAAATACGATATAACTCAGTAATACTACACGCCAAAAACTTCTAATAAAATAAATGTACTCACAATACACATTAAGCGTAGAGGTAGAGGTGTTTGTCCCAACCCTGCTCCTCACATCACATCGGTAATCTCCACCAGCACTTCTGTTCACATTCACCAATTTCAATGCGAGAATATTTCCCAACCCTGCGTTTGTCATTATCACAGATCCCTTGAAGCTCCATGATATGTATAGTAATGGTCCCCCAGTTGTATTGCATTGTAAATTCACATTTCCTCCTTCTATGATAGTAACACTTTGTGGAAAAGTAGTGATGGAAGGTTTAGCTGCATAGGGACAAAAAACAACAAGAAGAAGAAGCCAGCTATTAGTTTACGTCCAACATTCATAGCTCTATAGTAAATTGGCATGGACTGACTTTCCCAAAAGTTACTCAGCGGCAAAGTTATTTTTATAAGGAACTAAATTCTTTTGAAGGTAATTTATGATACATATTTTATTGTCAGAGTTGTTATTCTACTACTTTATCAATAATAATAATAATAATAATAATAATAATTATTATTATTATTATCATTACTAATGATTGATATTATCAATTATCATTATTAATTATTAGTATCATCATTAATTATTATTGTTGTTATTGTCAATATCATTATTGTTTGTATTATCGTCATCATCGTTGTTATTATCATCCTTACTTATGATTTTGTTTACTTATAGCATTGCATATATTCCCAGATAAAGCAGGGAAATATCGGAGATTTCGATCAGTGCACTACCTTTATTCAGCGTAACGTAAACTAAAATTGAGGATGTTTCTCTTAGGTTTGGTTCTTGAAATTTACATTGATTTTAGAACATCGGAGCTTTCTATTGACATGAGCTTCGATAACATTGAAATCAATTACACACCTTCAATCAAAATCACTGTCGTAACCAAAGTACTATCAACATGATTTGTAACACTGCAGGTATAGTTTCCACTGTCCTCTAGGGTAGCCGCAGTGATTGACAGCGACGCTTGACTTTCATTGTAATGAGGAACAATTACTCGTCCGTCACTTATCAGAACAGACGTATTTGTCGCCATCACTGTTCCGTTTTTAATCCACTGTACTTGAGACACTGGTGGTGAAACGTTATACCGACATGTTAACTCGACATCGTCGCCTTCAGCTATAAACTTCTCTTGATCACCAGCAATTGCAACTTCTGGCTTGGCTGAAACGCAAATTGAACACTGCTGAGTTTAAAGTGAACCGCCATAACGACATGTTAAGTTAACATCATCCCCTCAAGCTATAAACTTGTTTTGTTGGTTCTCTTGTTTTGTTGGATTCCCCCTCTCCTGTTCGAAAAGTCCCCTATGCCGCAAAACTAACCATTTACTATCAAATTTTTGACACTTGAAACATGTGAAGGACGGGTTAGACAACAGCTGACAAATGAATTAGGAAATATCCTGCACTTAAGTTTGGAGAAATAACGGAGAAACAAAACGCAAATATGCGCGCGCAGGTATGGATTTTCTTGCTCTTATGACCAAACAGACTTTTCTGTTAATGTAATCATTAGCAAATGTAATGAACCTTAATTGTATCAAAACGCACTCACCTCCAATGAAAACTATCTTCGTTTCTGATGTACTATCACTACCATATGTTACATTACATATGTACGTCCCAGCATTCTTTGTGGTAGCTGTCTTGATCGACAACTGTGTTTGGCTCTCATTGTAGAATGTGATATTCATCCGAGGGTCTTTAATTATAACGCTTGTGTTTTGTGCAATCACAATTCCATCTTTAATCCACTGCACCTTAGAAATCAGAGGCGAAGGGCTGTACCGACAGGTCAGATACATTTGACTGCCTCTGGCCATAAACTGTGTTTGCCCTCCGTCAAGTGTTGGTTTAGCTGTAACGTAACAGAAAATGTATTGGATCGAGGGGGTAAGTTTCAAAAGACCTGTGGTACTGCATCGGTGGGAAAGTATAACAGGGAAATTTGGTACTATGAACTGAGTTTATAACGTAAATTGGCCACCCTAAAGGGTTTCAAAGCTGACGCTTTCGAGCGTTAGCTCTTAGTCAGAGCGAAAATGCATTGCAACTGACTTAAATTAGGATACAATAGCCTTGGCAAGTATTTCGACTTTTAATAGTTAAGTTGAAGCGTTAAACATGATAGATGACAGTCATCAAGCGAGAAACTGGAA